CAAAAGATTTCCCTTATAGATACGAGAATATCTTATGAAGTGATGACACGATCAAGACGAGGGTCAGACAATTCGAAAACCCGAGGAATGTTGGGTGAAAAAGAAAAAAAAAACACGAAAAAAGAATTGGACTTTAAAGTACGGAATAACTTTATACAAAGTAAGTAGTAAAATATTTACAGATAACATAAACACAAAGCATGCACAGCAATGAAAAAGAAAATAAATTAAGATTAAAGAATGTTATTCATAAAATGAAAAAAATGGGGGAAGGGGAAGACAAAAAGAAAAAAAAAAGAATTTGTTGGGTGAGCTATTTTTAGCATGCACATATGAAAGTAGCAGAACACGACCATTGAAATATCTTCAATCAAAAGGCGTAATTCTGTTTGTAACAATGTCACTAACGCTACCAGATGGCACTGTACATAATTCTCTATGTTACACTGTAACTAACGCTACCAGATGGCGCTGTACATAATTCTCTGTGTTACACTGTCACTAACGCTACCAGATGGCGCTGTACATAATTCTCTATGTTACACTGTCACTAACGCTACCAGATGGCACTGTTCATAATTCTCTGTGTAACACTGTCACTAACGCTACCAGATGGCACTGTACATAATTCTCTATGTAACAATGTCACTAACGCTACCAGATGGCACTGTACATAATTCTCTGTGAAACACTGTCACTAACGCTACCAGATGGCACTGTACATAATTCTCTATGTAACAATGTCACTAACGCTACCAGATGGCGCTGTACATAATTCTCTATGTTACACTGTCACTAACGCTACCAGATGGCGCTGTACATTATTCTCTATGTTACACTGTCACTAACGCTACCAGATGGCGCTGTACATAATTCTCTATGTAACAATGTCACTAACGCTACCAGATGGCACTGTACATAATTCACTGTGTAACACTGTCACTAACGCTACCAGATGGCACTGTACATAATTCTCTATGTAACAATGTCACTGACGCTACCAGATGGCACTGTACATAATTCTCTATGTAACAATGTCACTAACGCTACCAGATGGCGCTGTACATAATTCTCTATGTAACAATGTCACTGACGCTACCAGAAGGCGCTGTACATAATTCTCTATGTAACAATGTCCCTGACTATACCAGATGGCACTGTACATAATTATCTATTTAACAATGTCACTGACACTACCAGATCGCGCTGTACATAATTCTCTATGTAACAATGTCCCTGACTATACCAGATGGCACTGTACATAATTATCTTTTTAACGATGTCACTGACGCTACCAGATGTCGCTGTACATAATTCTCTATGTAACAATGTCACTGACTATACCAGATGGCACTGTACATAATTATCTATTTAAAAATGTCACTGACGCTACCAGATGGCGCTGTACATAATTCTCGATGTAACAATGTCACTGACGCTACCAGAAGGTGCTGTACATAATTCTCTATGTAACAATGTCACTGACGCTACCAGATGGCGCTGTACATAATTCTCTATGTAACAATGTCACTGACTATACCAGATGGCACTGTACATAATTATATATTTAACAATGTCACTGACACTACCAGATGGCGCTGTACATAATTCTCTATGTAACAATGTCACTGACGCTACCAGATGGTGCTGTACATAATTCTCTATGTAACAATGTCACTGACGCTACCAAATGCCGCTGTACATAATTATCTATGTAACAATGTCACTGACGCTACCAAATGCCGCTGTACATAATTCTCTATGTAACAATGTCACTGACGCTACCAAATGCCGCTGTACACAATTATCTATGTAACAATGTCACTGACGCTACCAAATGCCGCTGTACATAATTCTCTATGTAACAATGTCACAGCCACTACAAGAAGGTGCTTTACATAATTCTCAATGTAACAATGTCACTGACGCTACCAGATGGCGCTGTACATAATGATCTATGTAACAATGTCACTGACTATACCAGATGGCGCTGTACATAATTCTCTATGTAACAATGTCACTGACGCTACCAAATGGCGCTGTACATAATTCTCTATGTAACAATGTTACTGACGCTACCAGATGGCGCTGTACATAATTCTCTATGTAGCAATGTCACTGACGCTACCAGATGGCGCTGTACATAATTCTCTATGTAACAATGTTACTGACGCTACCAGATGACGCTGTACATAATTCTCTATGTAACATAGTTACTGACGCTACCAGATGGCGCTGTACATAATTCTCTATGTAACAATGTCACTGACACTACCAGATGGCGCTGTACATAATTCTCTATGTAACAATGTCACTGACTATACCAGATGGCGCTGTACATAATTCTCTATGTAACAATGTCACTGACACTACCAGATGGCGCTGTACATAATTCTCTATGTAACAATGTAACTGACGCTACCAGATGGCGCTGTACATAATTCTCCATGTAACAATGTCGCTGACACTACCAGATGGCGCTGTACATAATTCTCTATGTAACAATGTCACTGACGCTATCAGATGGCGCTGTACATAATTCTCTATGTAACAATGTCACTGACTATACCAGTTGGCGCTGTACATAATTCTCTATGTAACAATGTCACTGACACTACCAGATGGCGCTGTACATAGTTCTCTATGTAACACTGTCACTGACTATACCAGATGGCGCTGTACATAATTCTCTATGTAACAATGTAACTGACGCTATAAGATGGCGCTGTACATAATTCTCTATGTAACAATGTCACTGACTATACCAGATGGCGCTGTACATAATTCTCTATGTAACAATGTAACTGACGCTACCAGATGGCGTGTACATAATTCTCTATGTAACGATGTCACTGACTATACCAGATGGCGCTGTACATAATTCTCTATGTAACAATGTCACTGACACTACCAGATGGCGCTGTACATAATTCTCTATGTAACAATGTCACTGACGCTACCAGATGGCGCTGTACATAATTCTCTATGTAACAATGTCACTGACTATACCAGATGGCGCTGTACATAATTCTCTATGCAACAATGTCACTAACGCTAACCAGATGGCGCTGTACATAATTCTCTATGTAACAATGTCACTGACTATACCAGATGGCACTGTACATAATTCTCTATGTAACACTGTCACTGACTATACCAGATGGCACTGTACATAATTCTCTATGTAACAATGTCACTGACTATACCAGATGGCGCTGTACATAATTCTCTATGTAACAATGTCACTGACTATACCAGATGGCACTGTACATAATTATATATTTAACAATGTCACTGACACTACCAGATGGCGCTGTACATAATTCTCTATGTAAGCATGTCACTGCCTATACCAGATTGCACTGTACATAATTCTCTATGTAACAATGTCACTGACTATACCAGATGGCGCTGTACATAATTATCTATGTAACAATGTCACTGACGCTACCAGATGGCGCTGTACATAATTCTCTATGTAACAATGTCACTGACTATACCAGATGGCGCTGTACATAATTCTCTATGTAACAATGTCACTGACGTTACCAGATGGCGATGATTTCACGGAATAAATTCCCATTACCTGCGCTAAATGTGATTGTTGAAAAATATCGCAAGTGTGTGTTTAGTGCCTAATTTCTCCTTTGTTTTACGGGACAATTCTCAATTTAAATACGCTCTCATACATCTGCAGTATAAGACAGGGTGGGACATAAGAACAGTAATGTAGATCAGAGGCGTGGAAAAAAAGTGTTCGGTTGCGAAACTGGCCCAAAAAAATTGTGTTCGGCAGGGGTTAGGGGGAATAGCACTAGTTGGGATTCTCATAAAGTGCTTAACTTGAAGTAAAGTTTCTTCAAGTAACTGAGGTAGATGGGAAGTTCATTCATTGAGCCAGCCATTGTTAGGAAGGGGCTATAACTACTCGAACTACTTAAATCAGCTGGAACCAGCTCCCCTTCCATATCCGTCGTTGTGGAAACCTCGTCCACTTTTAAAAAGTCCCTTAAAATTCATCTGTTTAGGTCCGCCTATGACCTGTGATGCACCCTCCTTGCCCTGCCTCATTTTTTGTCTCGGTTTAATCCTGTAATATAGGCCAATACGTGCCAAAGTGTCCTCGTTTTATAGCCATTTTAATTGTTTCTATAGTACAGCAGTTACTATCCAAATCTCTCATTTTTATTTTAGTTAGTTTACATTTTTTTAATAATTGTAAAGCGCTTAGAGTTTTAAGGTAAGCGCTATATAAGAATGCCTAAATAAATAAATAAATAAATAAACACGTTAAGCTAGTTAAAACGACAGCCTGCAAATGTATGCGTCCATACAGTTCCATGAATAACATAATCCTGCACGTCTACAAAAGTACATGTACACATGGCTTTCATCGAAACAAGTACACTAACACAACCACCGCGGCACTTATTAGACTGAAGTAGACACAATACACTTGACACCTAGTACTTGAACACATAATATACTTCAGTACATATAACTCTCTAGGTATGAAAGAAAGTATGGTGCAATTGTGGTTTCAATGGCACGCAAAATAAATTTGCTGATAAATGCGCTAAATGAGATTCTTAAAGATATAGCAAGTGCATTTGGTGCGTAATATTTTCTTTTGTTTGACTTAAATGGTCTCAATTTAAATATGGTGTTATAAATATTTGTTGTAAAAGTGAAGGGGACATAAGAACATCAATAAAGTTCAGGGGCAGTGACGTGTACCTGAGGGGGGGGGGGGAGGGTTGGGGGTGGTGGGATTAGGATTCTTATAAAGTGGGTCAGGCGAAATTAGGTT